GCCTTCTCCCCAGGCAGTGCTCGCTCTGGTGGGCACAGCTTGGTCCCTGATGTGCTGTCCTGGCTGACCAGCCCCCTCCCAGTTGATAGGCTCTGGAGACCATAGGACAGTCTAGGCCACTGTACCTGGGCTTAGCTCCATCACTGACAGTCCTACAGGTGACTGCCAGGGAGCAGCTCACCAGTGCCTGGGGTCCTGGTGACAGCAGTGGCCTCTACAGGAGAGCTGGGCCTGCTTCCAGGGGCCTGGAGGCCTGTGTTGGGTCCTGCCGTGGTGGTCCTCAGCCTGCTGTGTAGTGCGGCCATGACTCCCTTAGGATCTTCTCCCCTTCCTGTTGATGGGACAGTTGTGGCTTCTGACAACCATACACTAGATTGCAGCCCAGACCCCATGACCAAATTGAATTTGCAGCGGTAAACAGGGCTCTTGTAACCTAAATGAAACAACATTTGGGGGCAGCCCTGACGACCGGGTCCCCCAGTACTATGTAAAAGGGCCTGGCAAGAGCCCCTCAGATTGGTGACAACATAGCGGGGAGCATGCTGGGAGGCCTTCTGAGCCCCACAGGGTCAGGCGGATACAAGCAGCAGCAGGCACAGCACCACTCAGCTTACCACAGGGCTCACATCCTGGTCCCGGCCTCATCCTGTGAACGCGGGACCTCACAGGCTCATTCGTCTCCAAGCACCAGCTAAGGAGGCTCCTTAGCACAGGAACAGTAATGGCAGCACCTGGCAGTGCCAGGTGACCTTAAAGTACCGTAGGAAGGTGTGTCCTGGAATGGGGAACCTGCTCTGGGGACTGATCACCAGGAAGTAGGTTTTAGAGAGGACGATTTGGCAGGGAGCTCCTCCATGTTCAGGGGGCTGGGGCTCTGGCTCCTGAATGGGGCGGGTGCCACAGGATGGAGACAGAAGAGGCCAAGGAGGTCACACCATATGTGAGGGGCAGGTAGAAAGAGCTCTGTGACCTAGGCAGAGTTCCTTCACCTCTCTGAGTCTCTGTAGAGTGGGAATAAGTACCTGGCACTGAGAGTATCATCCCTGGGTTTACAAGATGGTGTGCATTAACAGCACATGGTGTACCTGGCACAGTGCTGGCTGGGAACAGAACAAGGGGCTAAGAACCAGGGGCCCATGACAGGTGCGGGTAAAGGGGAGCCCACAGTCTGATGAAGATTGTCGGGCAGGCTGAGGGACACCAGGGCCTTGCTGTGCATTGCAGGGACAGATGCCAGCATCCCCGTGCACATCAATAACATCTGCCAGCGCAACTACGTTGTCGTGGAGAGTGGGCGCCGGCTCAAGCCCACCAACCTTGGCATTGTCCTGGTGCACGGCTACTACAAGATCGGTGAGTCCAACTGGCCAGTGCTCCCTGGCTCTGTCACCTCCAACGGGCCCTGCAGTGAGCATCTAGCTCCCACTATAAAGTTGCTGCACCGGCAAACCCATGACCGGTCCCAGCAGAGGGTTGGCCAGGTGGGTCATGAACAGACAAGTGCAAAGGATTAGAAAGAGGAGGTGAGGGCTCTTCCCCACAGACCAGCTCCTGGCCTGGGTCCTTGCTATGGTGCTATTGGCTCTGTCCCCTCGAGGTCCCGAGGAGCATAGACATGGCAGGAGGGCTGCCAGGAGCACATCTGTGATTCAGCCCTAGAGACATGTTCCTGGCAACTCCACACAGGATTTCCGGGTGGAAGGTCAGGAAAGGCCTGGGGATGTAGGAGCCAGCCTGGTGCCTTCCAGCTTTGACTGGGGCTGCCATGGCAACCATGGCCCCTCAGGTATGAGTGCTCACAGCAGCATCCCCCTCACCTGCAGACGCAGAGCTAGTGCTCCCCACCATCCGCAGTGCCGTGGAGAAGCAGTTGAACCTGATTGCCCAGGGCAAGGCCGACTACCGCCAGGTCCTGGGCCACACCCTGGACGTCTTCAAGAGGAAGTTCCACTACTTTGTTGACTCCATCGCTGGTAAGGTCTGCCTCTACCCTGCCTCTAGGTCAGGGCCACTACCACTCAGGGTGCCAAACATCACCATGTGAGACCAGCCTCCAGATCTGAGCTCCAGGCCTCCACTGGGAAGATGGGGCAATGATGGGTCACCACTGGGCCATTGTTAGGATTAAAGAGCCAGTGTATTAACACCACACCCTGCAGCTCTGCCGGTCCCATGACTGACTTGGAAGCCCCACCACCCTCAGGGCGGGGGATGTATTCACTCACAGGTCCTCTGCTCCTATGGTAGCCACCTCTCCAGCCCTGCCGGATACACCATCCACTTGTTAGGGAGGTGGGCTGTGCAGGGTAGGAGGATATGACTGTCCTGCACCCCTTGCTTTCAGGCATGGATGAGTTGATGGAGGTGTCCTTTTCACCTCTGGCAGCCACAGGCAAGCCCCTCTCCCGCTGTGGGAAGTGCCACCGGTTCATGAAGTACATCCAGGTAGGTGGAGGGGGAGGGGCTGTGACCTGGTCTGCAGCGCCCTTGTGCACAGACTCAGGCAAGTCATGTCACCTTTATAGGCTTCTGCCTTATCCTTAGTCATACAGAAATACATTCTTTGTTTAAGCTGTCACATAAGTATGAGAAGCCTAAAGCAGCCTTGTCAGCAAATACCTAGTGTCCCCATGACCCCAGCAACGCATAAGCTGTTAGGCTCCTTAAACACATATTGTCCGTTTTTCCTAACAACACGATCCTTGCTATCATGGGTGTTAACACACATGCCAGGATTTTAGAACAGCCTTTCTTCATGTGTGGAGCAAGTGTCCTAAGACTCATGGCCGGGATTCTCGACTGAAAGGTCCTTGCCTGGCAACGTATTACATATTATGTATTACATGTTACATATTCTATACATGTATTAAATATGATGCATAACATATTACACATTATGTAGTACGTATTCTGTATTCTGTACACTCATGTATAGTATGCATTATGTATTACATGTTACATATGTATTTCGTAGGACTTGTATATTACATAGTACATGTTTTGTAGTACATGTTACATAGTCTGTATTATGAGGAGGATGAGGGTGGGCAGGAGAGTCCGGTGGCCCCAGCAACCCTGTGCATCTCCCTTGGCATTGCTGCAGGCCAAGCCAAGCCGCCTGCACTGCTCCCACTGTGATGAGACCTACACCCTCCCCCAGAATGGCACCATCAAGCTCTACAAGGAGCTCCGGTGCCCGCTGGACGACTTTGAGCTGGTCCTGTGGTCATCGGGCTCTCGAGGCAAGAGCTACCCACTGTGCCCCTATTGCTATAACCACCCACCATTCCGGGACATGAAGAAAGGTAAGCACCTCGTCCCTGGGCTTCAGCTGCTGCCTCCCAAGCTGAGCTGCCCTCTTCCCCTTGGGTATCTGTGACCTCTATGCAATACCAGCCCCTCCCTGAAGCCACAGTGGACTCTGAGGGGATCTCTCCCCTGGCCCTTCCCATGCTACTGGTGCTAAGATAGGAGACTAGGGTGTACATGGGCACTGTTCAGGTGTCAGCTGGCCTACCTGCTACTCTCCGTCCAGTCATCATTGAGCAGGTGACTATAGTCAGGTCACTCGGAATCTGGGCAGTAGGCGTGCTGCGCCCCTCCTAGGCTGGGGTGAGTGAGAGGATGCAGCAGGTGGCCTGTGCCCTCGATCAGTGCCCACCACAATTCTCCATCCTTGTGCTTGTTATTAGAGAAAGGTGAGTGTGTCCAGGTGGGGCTGAGAGACTGAGCCAAGAGTCTGAAGGGGGCCCAAGGCCCAGAGGGCTCCTCTTCGGCTGTGCTGTCTTCTTTATACCCCACACAGCCCCTGGGGTGTCATTACCCCATAGTACAAACAGAAATGAGATGCAGCAAGAATGAGGCATCCACCCACATTCTCAGGGTGCCTGGGGGGCTCTGACTGAGGCCTCTCCCCTGGGGCAGGCACAGACTGCATTTGGGCTGCCAGGGGCACGGAGGCCCATCCCTGCCTTCCAGCAACAACCAGGGCTGCTCCGTGTGGCCCACTGGAATGAGGGCCACTTAGAGCCGCTTGTAACAAACTGGAAGCAAAGCGAAGGGTAGACGGACTTGGCTGGAGGCCGCCAAGAAGGCCTTCTGGAAATGATATGAGCTCAGGGAGGGGAAACATTAAAGAGTGAGGAGGTTTCAGATGAACAGAGAATGGGGGGCTCCAGAGCCAAGGGCTGATGTGCATAAGGCCGAGAGGAGCACTTTCTGCTGGGACAAGGGACCCTTGATTATGAAAAACTGAGAGAGGCCCCGGGGGTGGGGTGGGGGCTGCAGCACTGGGCAGGCAGGGCAGTTGTGCCTCACGGGCTACCCTCTTCCCACCAGGCATGGGCTGCAACGAGTGCACGCACCCCACCTGCCAGCATTCCCTGAGCATGCTGGGCATCGGCCAGTGTGTGGAGTGTGAGAGTGGGGTGCTGGTGCTGGACCCTACCTCGGGGCCCAAGTGGAAGATGGCCTGTAACAAGTGCAATGTGGTGGCGCACTGCTTCGAGAACGCCCACCGTGTGCGGGTGTCCCCTGAGACTTGCAGCTCCTGTGAGGCTGCCCTGCTCGATGTGGACTTCAACAAGGCCAAGACCCCACTCCCAGGCGACGAGACGCAGCACACTGGCTGCATCTTCTGTGACCCCGTCTTCCAGGAGCTGGTGGAGCTAAAGCACGCGGCCTCCTGTCACCCCATGCACCGAGGCGGGCCAGGGAGGAGGCAGGGCCGGGGGCGGGCCCGGGGCCGGCGGCCTGCAGGAAAGCCCAGTGCCAGGCGGCCGAAGGACAAGATGTCAGCCCTGGCTGCCTACTTTGTATGACAACCCCGCCATCCTCGCCCAGGCTCCAGGAGGCTGTCCTTTGGGCTATGGAAATCATTAAAACACATTTTGTCTTCTCCAGAGGAAGTATCTGGGGACCTTTTGCTGGTATTGGAAGGTTACTGTGTCCTCCCGACCCATCTCCTATCGCCCCTCCCTTCATTCTGCCCACACCCCAGTAGTGCCTGCAGGGAAGCCACTAAGCGTGGGAACAGTAGCTGAGTGCACAGTAGGAAGTGTCCCTGATGCCAGTCAGGAAGGAGAGCACTGACAGCCAGGCAGGTGTCGCAGGAGGGAAGCCTGGTGGAGTAGGTGGGGCTGGGAGAAGTGCTCTCTGGACCTGGCTGTCTGCAGCCCCACTGCTCAGGCTCAGACCCCGTGCTCCCTGCTTAGCAGCTCTGAGGAGGTCTACGTGTGGTGACTCAGGCAACCCTGAAATCCTGGGGCTTGGTCCCGATTCTTGTTCTCAAGCAAGCCCTTATTGTCTCAGACAGATGGAGCCAGTAACTTACAGGGGAGAGCTAGGCGGGGTGCCATGGTAAGCCGTTCACATGCCAGGTTTAGAAAATAGCCCATAAGCCACAGCACCCTGTGGTGGCTAAGTGCCAGCTGTGAGCTGCATGCCCACCCGCTGTCCATCCCGAGTTCCTGGCTCCAGCCCGGAGGAGGAGCACCCCCATTAGACAACCACAAGTTCCCTGAGCTTTGGAAACTCCGCCCCTGGCCATGTGGTAATAGAGCTCGGTAAAATAGCTTTCCAGGCTGCTCAGTGGAACACTTGAGCAGATCAGAAATGTTGTGCCCCTATCTTGGCAGTAGATTCACAATTCACACTAGAACATATAAGGCTCTGACAAGAGTTTACGTAAATAAACCCGTGGCTTCACCCGGTATCCCACACAGGCGCTACACCCACCAGGCTCCCTCTTCCTGGAGGCCCCAACGAGCCAACCTGGTGCTCTTTGGAGCACAGTTTGGGAAACTACTATGAAAGCTTTTGAAAGGCTGCTGCTGAAGACAGGCTCCCTTGGAAGCTGTACTGCACCTGCTGGGAAGGTGTCTCAGAGGAGGGGACATTCTTAGCAGGTTTGTGCTCCTTTTCCCCTCCCTGCTCTGGTCAGATTCTCTGGCACTGACAGTCACATCTGCTAGAAGGTAGGGTCCTTGGCACAGGGCCACCCACTGTGGCCTTATCACGCATTGAGCAGACACGGCCTTCTCTCCTTGTGTTTTAGGACTCCTCCAGTGAGGCAGCCAGGGTAGAGGCTCAGTTTGGGCTTAAAAGGCAGAGATTACCTTCAGCCTCAAACCCAGACCACCCATTCATTACCAGGATTCTGCACTGTGGTTTCAGCCTCAAGCAGGACTAATAAAGGGTTCATTTCTTTTCCTCTGCAATTGTCCTTTGTTGATGAACCTCCTTTGAGGCCCTTGGCTTTCAAAGCTGGACTCTGCCTTCTGGGTCCCTTTACCTCATCCATCCAACAGCGTCCAAACCCCACTGTTACTTGCAACATGGCTGCAGGAGCAAGGAACTTTAGGCCAGTACTGCCTACTATGCTCCTTGGAACTGCACCTTCTGCCCTTGTGGCAGGGGAGGTCAGTGGCTACAAGTTGGCCTGCTCTGAGCGCACAGGGCAGAACCCCTGCAGACCAGGCCTCCCATCTTTGCAAATGACTCACAGCAGCAGGGCCTGATTGTCTAGCTGAATTGGCTAGACACAGGCTGTTGTCCTTGACAAACCCCATCCCTGTCACCTTGAAACCCTGGCACATGTTGACACCAGGTACACCAGGTATGTTTGCACAGGTAAGTGTAGCAGCCCTCTCTAGGACTGCTGGACAGAAGGCACTACAGACCTGCAGATACAAACCCACTTCTCCCCTCCGTGGGTCAGGCTTTTGAAGATCTGAAGACACCAATGGCCAAAGGAGATCCCAGAGCCCCCTTTAGAAGGCAGCACTGCTGTAGACAGGAGGCCACATGGATGCCCCATTGCAAGTGGCCTGGAAAGTCATGGTGAGGGTTTACACTTCCTTCCCAAGGTCATAGCACTGATGATGGTTTGAAAGCCCAAGACCAATATGATCCCATCTCTACTATGAGTTCATATATGTGAGGCAATGTGTGAAGGCACGGGGAGAGGAAGAGCCAGAGGAACAAGGTGTTTTAACCACCTGCCGGTGGTAAGGAGAGCAGAGGGCTCAGGGTGGAATTCCAGAACAGAAGACATTTGGTGACCAGGAGAGAGTTCAGTCAGAGGAGGCAGAGACAGGAGGAAAAGCCAGGCTGAGCTCTTTGGGAGGCCCTGGCACTCCTCTACCTAGCCAGGGGCACAGCCCTGTGAGAGAAGCAGAGTCCCAGGCTGGGTGGGGTGGGTGACATTGAGAGATTCCATTCACAAGAGTAAAAGCCAAGAGCCAGGAGCTGAGGCGTGATAGAATGCAGACAGGGAGGGGCTGACAAGCCACAGGGCACGAGTAATCTCACAGGCACGTCCTTGGCCCAGCACCCATAAGGGGCAACTCCTGGCCAAGTGGAAGTGCTCCACTGTGCCATCATCTCCAAGCTACCAACGTTGAATGGAATCAGTACTCCAAAAAATGTGGGCTCTGGCTGAGGAGGTCTATAGGTATATCAACTTCCGTGGGTGCCACATTTTGCAGTGTAGGAGGTCCTGTCCCATGTACCACCTTACCTGCGCTGTGGTTCTCAAACTTCACCCCACAGTCATTTTGATGCAGGGGGCCCCAGTCACACTTTGAGAAACACTGATGCAGGTTCTGACAATAGCCCTATGAGATAAGTTGGTTGCTATTGTCCCCATTTTTCTGGTAGGCAGACTGAGGCTTGGGGGAGCTTATTAAGAACATGTTCAAAGTCACAGATTATAAGAAGTAGCCTCAGGCCTCGCTCAGGGTAACCACACTGACAAGGAATTACAGGACCTAAGAAGGCGTGAGTAGAATGAGATGAGCCAGCACCCTGTCCACTTTGTTTCTCTGCCTAGACAGCCCCTGCCTTCTAGACCCATCCCCACCCCAGATGGTTTCCTTTCAGATCAGCCAACCGCTTGTTTTCCTCCAGGTTCTAAAACCCTCCTGTTAGAGAAGCGCCTCAGAGACCTTAATTTCTGGGAAGGAGGGACACAGGCCGCTGGTGTATGGACCTGAAGGTCAGGAGGAGAGGGCCACAGAACTTTGGAGAGCCCTTCCTCCATAAAATAAAATTTTAAATTATACATTATAACGCATTGATGCAAAGATAAGTATCCTAAAAATATTATATATTAAAACATTTTCTTTGACTTAAAAGTTCATTTATTTCTTCTGGCATTGAAAGAAAACATGTTTGTGGTCCTCTATGGTGACAGAAAAACAGCTTCCAAAGATGTCCACATCCTCCTGTGCATTGTGCCAACATTATACTACGTGTGTGACAAAGGGGACTCAGGATGGAATTAAGATTGCTCATCATCTGACTTTAAAATATGGAGATTATCCCAGATTATCTGGGTGGCTCAATGTCATCACATGGGTCTTTACATTCCTGGCTTTTAAAATGGAAGGAGCCATAAGCAAGGAGTGGGGCAGTCTTTAGAAGTTGGAAAAGGCAAGGAAACAGATTCCCGCTACAGCCCCCATAAAGGAACACATCTGCTGACGCCTTGAACTTAGCCCATTGAGACCTTGCGACTCAGAACTGCTAATGAATTGTGTAAGTCTGTGGTAATTAAAGCAGCAATCGGAAACTGATCCTAAAAGTATGGTGGTTCAGGCTCTGTGCCTCCTTGCCTGATGGATGGTGGACAGTCTGGGTGTGTATCCCTGTTCTGCCACTAAATGGCTGTTGACTGCACAAATTGCTTAATTTCTGGGTGCTGCAAGATAAGGATTGCGTTTCCTCAACTACCTACCCACCCAAAGCTGAGAAGTGAAGCAAGTCGCCAGTGAGCAGCTCCACAACCCAGGACGAGGGCCGCGTGTGCACCGCGACCCTCCAGGCGGAGCGCAGCTATTCTCCACTAGAAATGAAAGGGCCACAGTCACGGGTCCTGAGGCCGCCAGGGGGCAGCAGAGGCCCGGCCTCGCCCGCCCGGGGTCCGACTGCGCCTGCGCGCCTCCCGCCGCGGCTGGGGACGGGAAGTGGGCGGGGTCGACTGGGAGCCGCTCCAGGGTCGCCGAGTGGCGGAGTGTCAGGTAAGGCCCACGGGGACCTGCGGGTGAGGAAGCCCGGGGCGCAGGACCGGGGGGCTGTCGGCTCCGGGGTGGGGCTCAGGTGAGGGCCCGAGGTGTGCAGGGGCAAAACGGGGCGCTGAGGATCCCGAGGAGGCGGAATATGGGGGCTGCGGTGACAGGGAGGCCAAGATGGGGAGATTCAAGGGGTTCCGGGTCAGATGGGGAGGCTGAATAGCCAAGGGATCAGCTGGGGTCCTGAGGAACCTGAGGCGGGGAATTGGGGGGCTAGGAAGCCAAGGGTACAAAACTGGGGTAGGGGGGTTTTGGCCCAGCGGGGGTGTGGCCGGCCAAGGCCAGGTGGGAACTTAGGGCCCTGAAGCAGAATGGGGTACTGAGTGGTGACGCGCCCCATTTGCTCGGGGTCTGAAGCATCTGGCTCGGCCAACTGCCCTGACCCTTACCCCACCAGCCCCTGCACTTTTGCAGGACTGCATCTCTGCCGGAATGCCCTCACCCCTGGCCTGCTCCAACCCTTGGCCCTTCCCCAAATATATTTAAGGTGAATGTTTTCGTTAAAGCAAGTGCTTGGGCTGCAGCAGCTTTAGCGGGACATGTGATAGTACCTCAGGCAAGGAGGCCATGGGCTCCACCACTGCAGCTGTGTGACCTCAAGCAAACCCCTTAACCTCTCTGTGTAATAGGGAGAAATGGCACCTGATTGTAGGGATTTTAATGCAGGGCCTAGCACATCGTGGGGCCTAATGAATGGTGATGGACTCCTCCCTTGAAGCCTTCCACCCAGCTGGACACATGTCCTGAGTGACACATATCCTCATGGCATCCCCTGGGGCAAGGGCCTAATGAATGGTGATGGACTCCTCCCTTGAAGCCTTCCACCTAGCTGGACACATGTCCTGAATGACACATATCCTCATGGCGTCCCCTGGGGCAAGTTCTGTGGGCCAAGCTGCGCTCCCACCATGGGAGACAGTCTGTGAGGCCTGCACTCTGAGGTCATCTCCAGCTCACTTCTGGTCTTTGTGCTCATATCCGGCCTATTGTCAGATTTCATTCTTTTCCTTCTGCAATCAAGTTGGAACTGATAAAAGCATCTGAAGACCCCTTCTGGATCTGAGGCCGGCTTTGCCCTTTCCTATCTTTGTGACCTTAGGCAAGTTGTTTACTGTCCCTGAGCTTATTTCTTTATCTACTGTGTAACTAGTAGCTTGTACTTCTTTGCATAGTTGTGAGAGGTAGACAAAAGGAATACTACTTTGAAAGCTGTAAACCTCCACACAAATTCATTTGTAGAATTCCTTTGAGATAGCTCCCAAAGCCAACCCCATCTTTAAAAACCTTTCTCTGCTGCCCATCATGCTCCACAGTGTCTTTGCTTCCTCTTTGAAGGTTCCAGGCCTCAGGCTGCACATCTCAGCCCACACCACCCACTGATGGTGGTGGAAGGAAGCTGGCACTTCACTCTGCCATTACACTTGCCAGTTGCCATACACAAAGGCCATATGCCTGAGAGGACAGGGGTGGGCTCCCTGACCTCGGGGAACTTGTAATCTAGTGAGAAAGTCAGCCTGTAAAAAGTGGTGGTTCCACAACAACGTGACTGTGTTTAATGCTATGGAACAATACACTTAAAAATGGGTAGAATGGTAAATTGTAGCTTATGTATATTTTACCATAAATTAAAAAAAAATATGTATGTAGAAAGAGATCTGGAAGGATTTACAAACTTCCCAGTGCTTATTAATGAATAAAGAAATAAGATTCTCTATTTGTAGAAAAAAATTTTAACAGCGAATGCATTTTGTAATAATGATACAGTTTCCTTTTCTAAGGATTGCTATTTTTTTTCTTTACTCGGATCCTGAAGTAAGCAAGACTCAACAAGCATTTTGTCCAGACTGAGACAAATGCAGTTGTACAAATATGCGTTAGTTGAGCTTATGAGTCAAAACTAGTAAACTAGAGGAAAATAAATATTTTAAGTGGAGAAAAAAATGGATTTTTTACAAGTCAGGTGCCAGCAAAAGTGCCTAGAGCCATGGAAGACAGAGGGCTGGACCCCAAAGGTGTGATGATTTCAGCAGAGCTTGAATCAGAGAGGTCTCAGGGCAAAACAGAATGCCACCAGCAATGCACAGGAGCATGGAGGTAAGGGGCTGTGCCAGGGCAGTGGGCACAGAAATGAAAGACAGGGCCCGTGAGAGAGGCCACATTTGGGTTTGGTGACTGATACAGAATGGATGGGGTTTCCATCACAGTTAGGAGCTAGGCATGAACCTGATGAACTGTGCAGAGGGGTGTCATTCCAGGAGCCGAGAGGATGTGGAGGCCACGTTTAGCCAGACTAGTCAAGCAGGTGGCAGTGGGGCCTCGGAGCCCAGTATCCCTCTCATGTCCACCCCAGGTCCTTGATGATTTGCACAGACTCATGCACGAGTCTCCTCTTGAGCCCTTCACCAGCATTCCCAGTTGGGACACTCCTGCACCAGGCTCAGCTTCGCCTCACCTGTGCTCTCTGGTCCTGCTGCCTACCTGCTGGCCACTGCATTGCTCCTGAAACTCTGTCTTCTCAGTTGGTCCTGTGAGAACTCAGGGCCACAGCACTCCCAGGGCTGCCCCTGGGTCCCCCTTTGGGTTAGGAATTCCTCCCTCCCTCAGCCTTTGTGCCTTTATCTCTAGGCCCCAGGCTCCTAAGGGCAAGGATTGTTTTGCTCATATCCGTATGGCTCCATCACAGAGTCAGGAGTTTGTTTAAAAAAAAAAAAAGGAAGGGCAGGGAAGGAAATTACTTGTGTGTCACAAACCAGCTGGGCTTCAGAGAATGGAAGCCATGTCCTGGTTCTTCTCCTCGTCCCTCGCCCCCTCCAGGTAATGCAGAAACAAGCCTGGTTTGTCCTCAGCAGGCAGGGTAGCTCTGGACCACCCGCGTGTCTAGTGAAGGTGGGAGACTAGCGCAGGCCCTGATGTAAGCCAGCCCACAGGATGCAGACAGAGCTTGCACACAAGCACTGTCACACCTGTGCTGCCTTGCCCCCTCCCTCTGGGTCCTCAGCACGTTCAGGCCCATGCCAGATCCTGGGCCTGGGGTGGTAGGCGCAGGGCACATGACTGCAGTGCCCTGCACGGTGAGGAACATGGCAGAGACCAGTGCCTGCAGTGCTGCAGTGCAGAGAGGAGGGGCCCCCAACCCCTAGGGAAATGGGCTCACAGGAAACAAGGGGTCCCCAGACATAGGAAACAGCATCCTAAGGCCGGGAGGTGAGAAGGAGGCTCCTGCATTCCAAATTGTTGAGCAGTGTCACCACCAGCAAATGAGGTTAAATGTGAGGGACCTTGAACTCTGTGCCTTATGCTCTGAGCCAGGATTCTCAAACTGGGGCCCTCCTGTGCACTCTGGGGAGGTTGGTGAGTACACTGTCCTCTCATTGGATCCTAATCACACATGTACACGAGGCCAAGATTTCAGTGCTTGGGGAGCGTGTTTCTGGACTCAGCATTTCCCAACCCCAGGGCACCCACTGTTGCTTGGGACAGCTCTGCATTACTCACATTTCTCTCCTCTAAGCAACAGGAGGCCCGAGAGGTTTGAATGCAGAGGAGGGGAAAGCAGAGGAGGCCTCTTTCTCTGCCCAAGAGTATCCAAGCCTGCTGGGAAATTCTCACTCCCTTGTTGTTTTCATTGGCTTGATTCTTGTGTCTTCGGGAGCTGGTGCCGCCTGGCCGGCTTCCTCCCCAGCTGACCCTCACCTCCCCCTTGGAACTCCTGGCCCTTCCTGATCTCTCCATCTCACAGTCTTACCTGGTGGTTATAATGCAGTTGTCTGTCCTGTGCACGTCTTGGTCTCCCTTCTTTATTTTACATTCTTGACCTTTTTACCTGTTTGCCTTTGTAGCCCAGGGCTGCATTGTATTCTCTTCCAATGGTAAGTACATGGAAGGATAACAATAAAATGAAGTCTGTTCCCGTAACCTTTCATCACAAGTGACCCCATTTCTATATTATTTCTGTGTGTCTACTTTTAAAAATTAACTCTCGATTCCTGTCTTTGGAAGAAGAGCGGTTTTGTGCTTTTTTAATTGACTACTGTTTGCCCTTTGCCCTCTGAATCCTTCTCTGATTAGACATTTAATTCTCTTCCCTCTCCTCGTTACCCCATCTCTTCTTACGTTTTCCATCTTTATTCTTCCAGAAGACTTGTACTAAGTTAGTTCTTGACAAGGACAGCCCTTCCCCCAGCTGTGTTCTTCAGTGGGCTGTGAGCTGCCTTCAGCCTCCAACTTCAAACCTCTGCCCACAGCTGCCCTTTGGCAGTTTGCAGATGTGGTCTGTAGATAAGACTGATGATTCCAGAAGATTCTCTTCTGTGGTCCTGCCCTCTCCATTCACTCATCAGAACGTAGAAGGCCTCAGGAAGGGGATGGGCCGTTCTCCTCCTGGAACTTGGAGTACTGTTTAGACTCTCGAGTCAATTTGTTACCATCAGGAAACACTGTTGATTTTCCTGGGATGTAAACTTATGGGGTTCGTTCCTGAAGAAAGTTTCCCAGCCTGGATGCTATGGAGAGAACAAGAGGAAGGGGCTGAGCAGGTGGCGGGGAGGTGACGTACCCAGGTGTGTGTGTTAGAAAGTGGGGCCTCGAGACGGCTGGGCTGCAGCCCCTGAGTGGGATTGGGAAAGAGTGGGGCGCGGAGGCTAATCCTGAAGGGGGAATGGAGGGAAGACATTATGGGACCGGTTAGGTCTGGAAGGCTGTGAGTGGGAGGTGGGAATCCAGTGGGCCATCGGGGTGTCTCACAGACTTTGCTTTGACCAGCATACTAACAGAGGTGGAGAGGTTGGACTGGCAGTCCATCAGGGGTCCTGAGCTGGGGGAGGGGAGCTGGAGGCCCACCTTGTGTGGAGGATGGGGGTGAGTGACACTTTCCAGGTGTGAGAGGAGTGGGGTGTGGGGGGGGGGGATGACAAGCTTGAGCTCCAGAAACCTTCCTGTATCCCTTTGTCCATTCTCAGGCAAAGAGCTGCTCCCCTCTAAGCCTCAGTGTTCCCATCTGTGAAATGGGGGCTCATCTTGGCTCCCAGGGGTGTTTTGGGTAATACACAGGGCCTGGCAGTTAGTAAGCACTCTGCCTTCCTACGGTTGCGGGGAGGACGAGCCCTCAAGTCTGGAGCTATGCCTGGGGCAGTAAGGTCAGTGACCTGTGCCGTCCACAGTGCCTGTCCTCCAGCTGGGCCTTAGGAGGCTCTGGACTCCTCCTGTCAGAGAGGACTTAATAGGCTTGACCACATTCCGAATGCCCCTGACTATCCTGGGTTAACCCTCTGCTTCCCCCCTGCCCACACTCAGATGCCCCACAGCCTCTAGGGAGCCCTTCCTGCTCCTCCTCTAGTCTGTCTCTGAAACAACCCAGGGCCAGCCCTGTCCTGCATGTGAGCCTTGCCGCTGTCCCGTCCAGACCCTCCTCTTTCCCCCAATAGGTGTTTCTTCTCCCCTCTGGGCACCACGTCTAGGCTCACAGTGAGGAAGTGGTATCACTTCCTCACCTCCTGGCTGCCAAGGTCCCAGGTCAGGTTGAACCCCTTCACCTGCCACATTCATCTACCTCAGTGGCCTGGTCCTGGTTCCCTCTTCTGCCCACCGCTGGCCACTCTGGCCATCTCTGCCAGGAATACGCCTTCCTCCTCCTTTAAGACATCCATGCAACCGCTGCTCCTGGCTCTGTCCCCTGAAGCCACTTGTCTAGGCTCCCCTTTGTCTCCTTTCAGACCTGCATTAGGACACCAGGGTTGCCCCTCCTGATTACTTGGGCCTCCTGAATTGTGTGTTAGGCCAGGCAGTCCTGCCCTTCTGCCGTGAGCCCTAGGCTTGGTGCAGCCCCTGCCATGCGGTGGTTGAAGGTGCAGGAGAGAACAGGTGCCGGGGACTCAGCACTGCAGGGCAAGGGCACTGTGACCCCAGAGCAGGGCAGTGACCCCAGAGCTGGGCACTGAGCGCCTTGTGTTTTTGCTGATTCTCACATCTCTCCCCAGAGTAAAGCCTGACTGGAACCCCAGCAGCAGGCCCTGCCCCGGGATGCTCTGGGCATGGCCTCTGGAGCCTCACAGCAGAGCAACCAGATGGCAGAGGAGGCCCCTGGCTTCTTGGACGCATTCCTCCATGACTTTCCAGCCCCGCTGAGCCCGGAGAGCCCTTTGCCATGGAAGACCCCAGGAACAGTGCTGAGCCAGGAGGAGGTAGAGGGCGAGCTGGCCGAGCTGGCAGTGGGCTTCCTGAACAGCAGGTAGGCTGTGCACCCACTGGAAGGGGACAGCACGGGACACAAGCATGGCGCATGCTATGTGCCATGTGCTGACCTTGACCCTTGACCCTGGCATTTATCCTACATGTCTAGCCCTGTGCCGATTATGTTCCCTAAGTGAATTCCCATGACAGGGTGGCTGTAACAAAGCACCACAGGCTGGTGGCTTAGAGCAACAGAAATGTATTGTCTCAGCTCTGGGGCTGGAAGTCAGAGATCAATGTGTAAGCAGGGCCATGCTCTCCAACAAAGGTTGTCATGGAGAATCTGTTGCAGGCCCTTCTCTTAGCTTCTGGTATCATTAGCAGTCCTTAGTGTGCATTGGCCTAGAGACGCACCACTCCAATTGTTGTCACATGGCGTCCTCCCATTATCTGTCTTCACATGGCATCTCTCCTGCCTGTATCTCTTCTCTTCTTGTAAGGATGCCAGTCCTATCGGATACGGGGCCCACCCTCCTCCTATATGACTTCATCTTATACCTGCAAAGACCCTCATTCCAAACAAGGCCACATCCTGAGCCACTGCAGGTTAGGATTACAACATATCTTTCTAGGGAACACAATTCAACCCATAAGAGGTGCTAAGCAGTGGGTTCTGTTGCTGTCCAGTTTTACAGACGGGGAGGCAGAGGCCAGGTGGGTTAGGAGACTGGCCAAGACCTCAATATTGGGGCAGGGCAGGGCCTGGCCATATGCCCAGCATGCAAGCCATGCTGCCCACCACACCCCCCAGCCACCATGACCCAAGAGTTGGTGGTGCTTTCCCTATTTCACAGGCGAAGAAGCTGAGACGCAGAGAGGGGGCACAATCAGCTTAGCAGATTTTGAGGGAGATAGAAAGTCGTGTGCCTGCCAGCCACGCACACATAGGGAGGCTCGTGGCGTGTGGGCTGAAGGGCCATGCGGCATCCATGTGAACCTCATCCTTCTCTGAGGGGCCACACCCATAGTTCCTAGTTACTGCATCACCCCTAAAATCAGGACACACCCCTGGCCTCGGTGTGTGTCCTGTGCAGCCGATCAGCTCCATCCCTACACACCCGGAGGGCCTGCTTGGAAGGACCCTGAGGCCCCAGCAGAGTCACTGACTCTCTCTTGCCTGTGCAGCTGTAGCGTGGGAAACTATTTCACTGAGCACAAAGGCTGCTGGTTGTGGACCTGCTCCAGGGCCACATCCATCCCAGCATCCCACATGGCCCCACAGAGCTCAGGAAGAAACGCCCAGTGACCATATCCCTCAGGGTGTGACATGTGCAGAAAGGGTCGCCGGCTTGTTCTGCTTTGAGGGAATATTTTAGAGGCAGGTAGAGCAGAGTGGGCCTAGGGCCTGACAACGCCATATCAGGGGTGCTGGATGGGTGCTGGGGGGAGGGGGAGAAGAGGGCAAGGAGGACTCTTAGAGCTCTGCCGGCCGCAGGGCCAAAAACACAAAAAATGGGAGGAGACGGAGCTGGCCGGGCATAGCAGCAGCTCTCAGAGGGGAGAAGGAAAGTCAAGGGCCCTGGGCCACTCGGTCTATCCTTCCAGCAGCCACTGGGCCTGCCATGGAGGCTCATGGGCTGTGGGAAGACAGGCAGGCCCGGGAGGACTGGTACCCCTGTCGGGGGAGGAGAGGGTGCACAGAAGGGATGTGTGAGGGGTGGGGGCCAGAATAGTGGGGCTGGTTTTGCTTCACAGGAGTGGAACTGGGAGGGGATGAGGAAGAGGAGGGAGGCTGGACAGGAGCAGGTGACCACCCTCCTGCCCAGGGTGGGGCCTGAGCTAGAGGAGTCACAGGTCAGTTGAAGGGATTGTGGGGCACAGGGTCTTGGGGGGAGTGAGTTTTATGAGGGAGGGCAGGTGACTCAAACTAAATGTAGGGAAGAGCAGGACTTGTTTGAGGTGGAGCAGGACTCTGAGGCCCTGGCAGCAGATGAGTCTGAGAGGGTGGGAGGGTGGGAGGAGGCCTGCAGGCCCTGGGCTCAGGTGTTAAATGGGCACTCGTCAATTAGCAGGACAACACAAACAGGCCTGAGATCATTAGTGGCAGGAGAGACCAGGAGGGGGTGGCACAGGCCTCTGCAGAGCCCCCCTAGCCACTTTAGGCCCCCGCTGTGACTCCACCTTAAAGCATCTTAAAATGGAGTTATTTTAAAGTCTTACATTTTTCAGCCATCTTACTGGGTTTACTTTCAGTTACTTTCATCCTTTTCTAGTAGTTCTTTCCTAGGTAGAGTCGGATATTCACTCAGATATTCTGCACTGCATTTGACTATCAGGAGTACCCCACTCGCACACCTTCCGACTGGGTGGGCTCCTGTCTCTGGAGCTGGAGCTTGAGGGCTCTTGGGTGTAAGGGGCCCGAGCATGGTGGTCCACGGAGATTTTTCAGATCATAATGGTATGTATCTTTTACGAGACTGGAAGTCACATCACTGAGTTCAAGGGTGTGATGATTTATGTCTTGTCTTTCCCCTTGTTAGCAGTTCCATGTCACATCTCAGGTCTCCGAGCAGTGCACACCTTATACTGTATTATTTACGTGGGTTTTCATCTTTGCTGCTAAACTGGAAACTCCATGAAAACCCCCAAGGTGGGCGGGACTAGAGGGTTTCTCGGCTCCCTGGGTCATGCACACTCATCTTATCCCACTTACCGCAGCATCTTCTGGCCACATTAGAAGCCCCAGTGATAAAGGGCCTGAGTGCCTTGTGGGTGTATTGGGCGGGACCCCTGGATGAGGTGGGAGGGGCAGCCAGAAAGCAAGCCTGTGGCCCACAGCCAGGCATTGTGTGGGTCCCCACTGCCGGAAGCTGCTTCTCTGCCCTTAGTGGCCTCAGTGGCGGGGCTTCAGAGGGCCTGCAGGAAGCCACAAAGCTCGACCTCACCAGGAGCAAGGAGAACAGATACCCCTTCTCTCTCTCTCCTGTGAAAAAGGGAAACCCAGCGAATGGCAGGAAATCCCCAAATGGCAGAGGAACTCATTTCTCATGTCTTGGCTGGTTGTTTTTCAAAGACAGTTCCCCAGAGGTTTCTTTGCTGAGTCACCCTCTCATTCATCCCCGTATATCCCTAGGATCATCTATAGACACCACAAATGTCCAGCCCCAAAGGGACATGACCCGTCCTCCGGGCTTTTGGGAGGTCCTTGCCCTCAGGGTGAAGCTAAGTGTGTGAGTCCAGCAGAGAATTACTGGCCACCTGCCCTGGGCCTTGGCCCCACCCTCAGTGAAAGGCACATGGGGGTGAATGCATGTCCTCTGGCCTGCGAGGGGCTCCCACTGGTGGGGAGGCAAATTCTGGGGTCAGGATGCATCCTAGAGGCTGAAGGGGCAGCGGGGGTGGGGGAAGGACTGACCCCTACTGCTGGGGGAGCCAGGGAGAGCTTCTCAGGGACGTGGTGTGGGAGCCAGCCCCTGAGCCGGGCAGGCAGGCCTGGGCGCCCATGGAAAAGTGCATGTGTGGCCCTTTCGGATATTCACTCAGATATTCACTCAGTCCTCCTCTGTTGGCCTCAGACTCTCTATCCCCAGGACTTCCTAGAAGCTCCTGTTTCTTCCCTCCATTTGCTTTCCCACATCTGTCCACGCTGACCCCCAGCTCTGTTCTGCGTATCTGTGGCCTTCAAAGCACTCAGCCAAGTCTCGCTCCCTGGAATCGTTCCTCCCCGGCTGTCTCTAGAGTCATCCCACTTTTGCAGCTGCTCCCAGCCCCACAGGCTACTCTCTGCCCGGGCGAGCATCTTTGAGCTACAGCCCCCACCCCCATTCATTCCAAGGCCCCATCTTCAGTCCAGACCACATGCCCACCAGCCCCAGACCTCTAGACCTCAGCAGAACCTGAGACTCGCTGTAGACATGGAACCCATCCGATCTCCTGCCCAGCACCTGCTCTGTCCCCTCTTGTCCACCACCAGGCCGTGTTCTGCTCAGGCCTGGGCCTCCCTGCAGCATTTACTCTTCAATCCATCCTCCATAGCAAGGCCAAAGAGACCAATCCCATCATGTCACATCCCTCTTCAAAACACACCAAGGCCATGGCTCCCCATTGCCCTGACACCTGCCCCCCTCCTTCCAGCGTTCCCTTGTACCAACTGCCCTGATGGGCAGGGAACCCCATGGCCGTGCACAGCCCAACCTTTCAGACGCAACCCAGGGGACCACGCTCCCTAGATTTGTTTCTTGGGGTGGCTATGATGAAGGACCTCAGACTGGGTGCCTTAAACAACACAAATGTATTGTCCGAGGGTTCTGGAGGCTGGAAGTCCAAGATCAAGGTGTCAGCAGGGCTGGTTCCCACTGGTGGTTGTTGGCCGCCCTTGGCTTGTAGGCTCATCATTCCAGTCTCTGCCCTCATCCTTCATCACTGTTCTCCCTGCATGTGTCTGTGTCTGAGTTTCCCCTTTTGATAAGGACACCAGTGTTACTGGATTAGGGGATCACCCTACTCCAGAGTGACCTATTCTTAACTAATTACATCTGTAACCACTCTATTTCCAAATAAGGTCACATTCTGAGGCAGTGGGGGTTAGAACTTCAACATATGAATGTGGGGGGACACAATCAACCCATAAGACTCCCCAACCCCCAGGGGTCCCCAGCCAGTATTGGTGACCAAATGCTGTCATCTGGCTGGACGTTAGGCAGTTTATTTGGCCTGGCCACCAAGGCAGTGTACACAGCTCACGCATCTGTGACACCCCCTCCCCACCAGCCCTAGCACTCGTCTGGTGTAGTGCAGGCCCTAGTAAATGGACATCCATCCAGCTCCCCATGGACCAGAGGTCTCATCGAGACCCCATGTTGGAGTGTAAGTAATTATCGCTACCTCCTAAAGGGCCTCCCTGGGTGGAGGGGGCCCGAGGTCTCCCTCTGGAGCAGCGGTTCTCAACCTTTCACAGGGGTTGCCTAAGACCATCGGAAAACACAGATTTTCGATGGTCTTAGGAATCGAGACACCGCTCCTCTATCCGTCTCCAGGCCCACATGCAGATACGCCCACATACGAGTACCTGGCGACCCCTGTGAAAGGGTCGTTCGACCCCCAAAGGGGTCGCGACCCACAGGTTGAGAACCGCTGCTCTAGAGGGTTTGGACAGGCACTGGGGCATTGGCTTCTGCCGAGAAGCCGTCTCCAGCTCATTTCTTGTTCCCATCCCAGGAACGCTCCGCCACCACTTGCCTCATCTCTAGCCCATGAGGCAGTTTCCCAGCTGCTGCAGATGGACCTTTCTGAATTCAAGAAGTTGCCCAGGCAGGAGGAGGAAGACAATGAGGAAGAGGAGAAGGAGAAGGCCCCTGTGACCTGTGAGTTCTCCCTCTTGGGGCCCCAGACTTAGCCAGAGACAGGCTTGCCAGCCAGACAAGGGATAGGCCGCCGGGGAGCACCAATGTGGGAGAAGGCCAGGCTCACTTGATTTCCATCTCCTTTCCCGTTCTGCTGGTGGAAGGACGGTTATGGCAGCACATGGCTGATGGCTGTGAAGGGGCAGCGCCGGATATGCGTGCTCATGATAGGATGACAGGATCAAGATGTAGAGGATAGCACTCCCAACATGAAGTCGGGGGTGGGGGTGGGGGGGGGGAGCGCGGCAGCCACTCACTGGGCTTCAGAACAGCCAGGGAATGAATGACACGTATCCCATTTTACATGGAGGACACCAACTGAGGTGCTCTGGGTTTCACTCTTGCTTTTCTGCCTCAGGCGACATCGCCCCATGGTGACGTGGGAGTGGGTTTCCCGAGGCTGATAGAAAATGCCAATAGAGCTCTCCCAATGGCCTGGGCTGACCCAACCCTGTCAGGTGGAGAGTCAGTGGTGTCCATGTGACCTTGGGGAGGCGGCCTGTCCCTGGGACAGTGGTCAGCAAGGCAGCCTCAAGCCATAATGTCCAGAGGAACCCAGAAACGGGGAGTGAGCCTCATCCTAAAAAGCCCAGGCTCTTATTTTGTATGTCTTCCTTTCACTTTCCTGGTAATTCCTTTCTATCATATTTCAACAAAGTGTCGATTCATGTCAGACCTGAACTACAGTGAGTGAGAGACTCTGAGCTGTGGCCCCGGGCAGAGTGTGCAGGTGGGCCTAGACTGGGACCAGCTGGCATCTGCTCCACCCTCACTGGTGAAAGGTACAGCTCAGGCCACAGGCAGGGCTGCAGGCCAATGCAGAGGACATCCTGGGACCTGGGGCCCAGCCTGGCCCTGGAGGCAGTGGGAGGGAGCCTCAGAACATTTCCCTTTCTTTTCCAGTTTCCTTTTTTACTATGTTACTTTATTATTTTTTTTAAATGGAGATACGTTGACATATAACATTATATAAGTTAAAGGTGTACAATGTGTTAATTTGGTTCATTTATATGTTGCATATGATTGCCACCCTAGCGTTGCTAACACCTCCCTCATGTCACTTAATTACAGGCATACCTCAGAGATATTGTGGGTTTGGTTCCAGGCCACCACAGTAAAGCGAGTGGTAATCTTTTTGCTGGGGCGGAGGTCGGGTCTTGTCTTCAGTTTGTAAAAAATGCAGCATCTGTCAAGCACAATAAAGCGAAGCATAATACAACGAGGTATGCCTGTATTTGAGTATCTCAGCTTTCGTGCAAGCATTGAGGGCAAAGTGAGGAACAGGTGGGGAAAAGAGAAGAAAAACACGCAGCCTCTTCTTGAAGTGGGTGCCGGGCCTTTCTCATTTGCGTTCCCTGCCCTTCTCCCTCCTGGCTCCCTGCCTGTGTTCCATCCCAACACAGGCTCGTGTTTCCGCCTGGGAGGCGCAGATATCGGCTTAGTGACAGGCAGCCATTGTCCTCTGCAAAGCCGGCGGGCTCTCCGCCCAGCTAAGGGAGCACTGGTGGGCCCCGCCCGACTCGCTTCCCGGCAGGAAATCAGCACCACCTGCTGGCGGGAAGGAGCAGTGTGGTGGCTGACAGTGACGGAGCCCTCCACTTGGGGGCTCCCGCTTGCTGCTGCAGGAGGAAAGGGCCCAAACAGGAGGAAGCCGTAGCCTGCTCCTGCCTTCCATGCTGGCCTGGGCGCCCGGCCTGGATAAGCTCATCCCTGTCGTGGGAGCAGAATAGTAAAGTCTATCGGTGGGTGTTATGAGAATCACCACCCAAGGGCAGAGATGTGACTGAAACCTCTGTGTTGCCCGGTCAGATGGAGCCACCAGCAGCCCCTCTCCAGTGAGCAGTTCCCATGGGTGCCAGGAAAGCAGGCGGGTCTTCTGAATGGCATCAGAAGTATGTGGGCCAGGTGATCCTCCCATAGCTTATTCTCATTGGTAATTGCCCTTTGCTGGAGCCCAGATTCAAACTTAAACACATTGACAAAAACACAGTCCTCTTTTAAGGCAAAAGAGTAAACAGTACCCTGAACCCCCCTGGGTGTTTCAGGCCTGGTAAAACCCAGTTCACATCAGATGCCCGAATGGTCACAGAGTTCTCGTGTTGTGGCAGCAGCCAATTCTAGAAACCCCTGCCTCGATGCATGGATTCCCTCGGATGTGTCTTTCCGAGGTCGCCTGTGCTCGCAGACCCTCAATGCCTCCCCTGGCCTCCCCTTATTTTCTTCTGTAGCCACTGCCTGTGGGCAGGAGCCCTTCTCCAACTCCCTAAGTCCTTTGAGTGTGGCCTGTGACACTCCTGAGTCTGCCCTGTTTCCAGTTACTTGTCTTGGGGCTCCCCTCCTATGTGACCAGCCCTGTACCTGCCACTCACATTTGGGCCAGCAGGGTCCCAAGAGGGGTTTGTGCATCAAAATGAACTGAGTCTCTGAGATGAGGCACCTGAGGTTTCTTTTGGACCTGTTCCTTGTTAATCTTTCCTTTACAGCCAGATTTAGGTAGAATTTGGGTTTTTTTTTTTTTTAATTTTAATCTTTGTTGTGGGGGGTATTACCTGTTGCTGCACAACAAATTGCTCCGAAATTTAGCAGCGTAAAACAATAAACATTTATTATGCCACAGTTTCTGTGAGTCTGGAATTTGAGAGCAACTGAAATGGTGGTTCTGGCCCAGGGTCTCCCACGAGGTCAGACGAAGGCCAGTGGTTCAATCACACAGTTATTGGCAGGAGTCCTCACTTCCACACCATGTGGACTCTGCACGGGGCTTCTTGAGCATCCTCCTGGCATAGGAGCTGCTTCCCTCAGAGCCAGTGACTCACGAGAGATAATGAGAAAGACAGAGGTGGGCATGCAAGATGGAAGCCACAGCACCTCTTAAGACCTAGCGTGTGAAGCTGCTCATGGTCACCTCCGTTTTATTCCATTTATTGAAGCAGGTCACTAAGTTGCACACTCAAGGGGAGGGAATTGAGCTCCCAGTCTTAAAGGGGAAAATATCAAAAAATTTATGGACGTATTTTAAAGCCATCACCTGGGGCTAACACTTATAATAGAAAATTAAGAAAGCACTAAGAAAGTGTACTTAAAAAACATCACCCATAAACCACCACCTGTAAATACTCACTGCTGACTGTGGTTTTGTGCCTTCCCTGCCTTTTATTTTCTGGGTCCAGGTGGTTGAAGGCTTTTTTACATACTCATGATTAAACTGTATGTGGAATTTTTCATCTTCCTTTTTTCACGATGTTTTTTTCCTTAATATCATGGCACAAGTATTTTACATGCTTGCCAACTCTGTAAAAGTCCATTTTTGTTTTATTCTTTAACTTTATTTTGAGAGAACCATAGTCTCACAGACAGCTACACAACCATCAGAATCCCAGGCATTCTTTACCCAGTTCCCTCCAACAGTAACGTCTTGCAAAACTATAGTAAAATATCACGACCAGGATCCTGGCATAGTCAAGATACAGAACAATTTCATCCCACAAGATTCCCTCATGTTCCCCTGTATGGTCACCCTAACACACCCCCCAACCACTGACAGTCACTAATCTCTATTTCTGTAATTTTGTCATTTCAAGAATGCATATACATGGAATCACACAGTAGATAACTTTTGGGGTTTGGCTTTTTTCGCTCAGCATAATTCTCTGGAGATTCATCAGTTTTCTGTGTGTGTGTCAATAGCTCCTTACTTTTCTCCTGCTGAATGATGTTCCGTGGCACTATGTACCCAAGTTTGTTTAAACATTCGCGCGTTGAAGGACATCTGGGCCGATTCTGGTTTTTGGGTATTACACATAAAGTTGCTGTGAACATTTGGGCACAGCTTTTTGTGTGAACATAGATAAACCTCCAGGGGTACACTTGCCTAGCCATATGGCAGTTACATCTTTAGTTGCAAAAATCTT